GAAATCAAAATCCAGTGTTTTTCTTAATCATGGGTCTACATTACGGTTCAGGGTTTAGGGTTAGGGCTCTCGAAGTTTGGGATTGGAGGGCTGAGAGGGGAGGGGTTGGGTTTGGCGTGAGGGGCGCTAATGGGATTTAGAGGTTTTGGGTTTCGGCCTTTTGGCGATTCAGGGTTAGAGTTCTGAAATACCTGGGTTACGAATACCCTGAACCTCTAAGTCAGAGCTTGCAATAGCATAGTTGGAGCTTGACATAGCCCTTTTTCTTAAGGGTATAGGCCTTCTGACTGCGACAGCACCAAACCCAAAACCCTGAACCCTAAACCCCAGACCCTAAATCCTGAAGCCAAAACCCCGCAGCTAGGCCAAAGCGTCGAGGAAATGGCCAGCATTAAAGACCACCTGGGTTGAGCTGGCAGGAACCCTGGGGACGCGGTTTAGGGCTTAGGGTTAAGGGCTTAGGGTTCAGGATTAAGGGTTTAGGGCTTAGGGATCAGGCTTCAGGGCTTAGGGTTAAGGGTTTAGGGTTCAGGATTAAGGGTTTAGGGATTAGGTTTTTTTAGGGTTAGGGTTTAGGTATTAGAGCTTAGGGTTTGGGCTTTAGGGTTTAAAGTTTAGGTCTTAGGGTTTAGGTTGAAACCATGGGCCCCGAGTACGGGCCCTTGACCCTGGGATCCTTTCTAACTGTGGCCCCTAGAATCCCCCTAAAAAATCTAAGGGCCCACAAAGGGCCCATACTTCGAACCTTAGATACTGCCTCGTAGACGGCTTCCTGCAGGATCCCTAAACAAGTTCTACCAAGGATTTTGAGATCAACCCTCAACTATACCGGGCCGCATTCAGGTCTCCAGCAAAAACAAAGTCCTTGCCAAGTTCGCAAGCCCATTGCAGGTCCACAGCGTCAGATATGAAGAGGGAGTCTGCATCCATCCAGAAAACAAACTCTGCGCCCTTCCTCTCTTTGCCGGAAACGAAAAAAGTCAGATCTGACTTTGCTTACCCACCCTGAACCCTATAGTCCCCCAAGAGTAGATAGAATATGCCCAAAGCCATATTCTATCTTAGGGGGGACTATAAACTGTGGATGCCCAAAGCCCCGCGACGTCTCGTCGGCCTAGCAACTAGCACCTGCGGGATGACTGAGTTGTAGTGTATGTGGTAGTTTCCCAAAATCAGGGGTACCCGTATTGGGGGGTCCCCATAATAAGGACTATAATCTATTGGGGTCTATATTGGGGTCCCCTTATTTTGGGGAAATCACCATGTATCACTCACAATATGCAGGCGTGCTGGCCACAATGAGCAGCGGTGCTGAGGTGAGCTACAGTCAATGACGCCTACATACTCAAAACGCGTGTGAGTTTTCATTAGAAAGTGTCTGGTTGGTGCAACATTCAACAACTATGTTGAGACCCTATGGCCAAACTTAACTTCTGTTTTGCAACCCCACAAACACTACCAACAAATCCAAATCCGACACCCTAAGCCGTTTCAGTGAAGTGGCTGCAGGAGGCTGAGGACATGCGGAAGCTTGGACCATGTGGGGTCCGTTCTGCCTGCAATGTTCTCCTCAAGGCATGCATAGGTGTAGCCATGCAGGGCGCACCATCGCTCCTGCGTATCGTATTGCGCGTTTAGCATATCCTGAATCTACCCTGGAGCCCCACAAAAGATATCTAGCGAGGAGGAAAGAAGCAAAGGATTAGACATGTCCTTGCACATGTTGAGAGATGTTGGTGCTAGGCACTTGGCCAGAGAAACTCTTACCAGATGAAATGTACGGACCTGAATAATTAACGAAGGAGAACGAAATGTGAAATCACATGTCATTTGGCATGGCACTATGACAAGGAAAATGCCTAGGACCATGAAATGGAACATGAAGAGAACATGATGTGGAACATGACATGGAGAATGGCTTCCAAACCCTAAACCCTAAATAGTAGTTTCCATTTTCTCTTCCAATATCCCGATATATAACCCCAATATAAGTCCCATATAACCCCTAAACCCTAAACGCCTCAAACCCCCAACCCTAAGCCCTAAACCGCGTATATAACCCCCAATAAGCACAGCCCAGGCTCATGATTCCTCCGAGCTGGGAGCATCAGCTTCGCAAACTCACTGCCAGCAAAGATGGAGGCAACGACCACTCGGGCCCGAGGTTGAGGTATGTGTCGTGGAATGCTGCTGTGAACAGCAAGAGCCAGCTCAAATGCAGGCTCCCTCTTCAGAACAAGATCCTTACGTGCCGAGCTTGCTCGGAGAAGTGTGTTTAGCGTTTGGGGAACAATGGCCATGTCTGCCTGCAGGGCTTCCTTCATGCTATCCCCACACAAGCAAGGTTGCCTATTGCCAAGCATAGCAATGCGGCGATTGCCGGGCTGTAACGACGTCCTTTCTTAGCAGAAGATGCCGAATGAACTTTCTGTTGCCGGAAATACAGGCAGAGGCTTAGAGGAAGTGACAAGTGACGAGAGACCAGTAGACCGGGCACACGTTGCAAACCCAAGTTTTGTGTCCCTTTCCCCTGAAGCAATGAGGTACATAAGGGGTATGAAAGGGCTATATAGGCTTCTGGGGAGGTGTAGACAAGGGGTATACAGAACTTATGTAGGGTTCTCCCTTAGAAGCTCCCTGCTGTAGTTGCCCTTACAAGGAAGGTTGCCATCCTTGCTTATAGGCATCTTCCCCAATCTCAGCGAATCTCATTCAATTATCCTGGGTGGGGTTTGGGTTTTTGTTTATTTTGGGTTTAGGGGTTACTTCAAAGAACCCCGAAGCTGCTCATGAATAGGACACCTTCTAAGAGGATAGGAGCGGTTCAATGCTATCTAAAAGTGAAAGTGTCAGCTAGAGCAGCGCTACTACGAATTGTAGTGTTCAGCTTGCACCAGTCTTGCAAAAAAAAAGCATGCCTTGCCGCCTCCTTCTTGCTGCTACCGTTCACAGCTAGCAGGTTGAAACCTGAACCTTAAACCCAAAACCGCTACCATAATTCCCAAACTCTGAACCCTAAACCCTTCACCGCTTGGCTTCCAAGCGTCCACCTCCCATCTCAGCTGTTTACTGCGCCCTTCCTGGCGCAAAAGAGCCCAGCGCTGCGCCAGGTATTTAGCAGCTACCGGGCTGTCAGCGAACCTTAGGCAAGTGATTACGGTCCAGGGTTTAGGGCTCAGGGTTTAGTGCTTAAGGTTTAACACCAAAGTGACAACCCTAAACCCTGCCATAGTATGTTGGGTTTTATATAGGGGAACCTCTCTAGACAAGTGACACCCCTAAACCAGGAATTCTTCGGGCAGTCAAATCATATTCTCTGCATGTTAATATTATTTGTAATTTAGGATTTAGGATTAGAGTTTAAGGCTCATCAAAAACCCCGAAAACACAAAGTCTTGGGCGTAAGCCTTCGGAAGGGAGGAAAGGATTGAGGCAACACAAATCAAATTCTGGAGATGTCTTCATCTGGGTGGAGTTACTGAGAGCACCAAGAAGAATAGAAGACCCCTAAAACCAAAACCCTACACCCTAAATCCTAAACCCTACACCCTAAACCCTACACCTTAAATCCTAAACCCTAAATCCAAAAAAAGGATTTACCAAGGCAGTAGACCTTCGAAGAGGAGTCGAGGCCTCGTCAAGAGGTGCTCCCGGCTTCTCCTAGTTCCATGTTTCAGACTTGGGACTCGTAGGGCTTAGGGTTCAGAATCTAGGCTTTAGGTTTTACAGGTCTAGGTTCCATGGTTTAGACCAAAGGATTTGAGGTTTAGGATCTAGGGTTTAGGGTTTACGATCTAGGGTTTAGGTTTTCGGGTCATGGGGTTTAGGATTTAGGTTTAGGGTTTAGGATTTAGGGTTTAGGGTCATCTCCTAGAATTTTGCGCTTGGGCTTTTAGGGCAACGCAAGGCTCATAGTTAGTCTAACTCCGAGTGTCTCCCTTAATAAGCCCTAGGATGGTCCCTTATAAACCTCCATATATAACCCCCTTTAAGAAGTGGTAGTTTCCCCCCAAAATGGGGGAACCCCAATATAGACCCCAATATACTACAGTCCTTATTTTTGGGACCTCCAAAAGGGTAAACCCACGAAATTTCGACTATAATAGCTTTTATGGGGATACGGGGGGATGCCCATTTCGATCGAAGCATTGTGCAAGAGACTTGTTCAAAGGATGGAGTCCCGCCTACCTCCCTAAATTGGGTTTATGTAGGGGTTATATGAGTATATGTATATACATATATATACATGGGCACATAGGGTTTTAGGGTTTCACTCTCTTCCCCAATAGCCAAGGCCAAAAAAGTTTAAACTTTATTATAGAGACCCAAAAAGGAAGCCCAGAAAGGTTCTTCAAGTTCTTCTATTGGCTAATTAAGTTAAGGTATCCTGAATCGAAAGCCCAGCTTCTTTCCTTGTGGCCTGTGCTGGCCATGCGAAGCAACGCGCTCGCTGGCATTCAACCTGCGTTTGCGGACGTTGCGTGAAGGATCAGGGTCAGGGTGGCTTCGTAGCCAGGTTGGTATGCTTACTGGTTCCGAGTAGCGCACAAGGGGATATAATCCCTATATAATCCCTACATAATACATATCCTTCTTCCCTTGTAAGAACCAGGAAGTATGGGGCTTAAGTGTTTAAGGCCAGAAGTTGTAAACTGATTACGTAAGTCGCCATGACAGTCCAGGTGGCAGCTCAAGGATTTGAAATTCCAGGGATGAGTGCATGTCAGGGCTGGGTCTCAGGGATACCCTAATCCCTAAAACCTAAACCCTAATTTCTAAACACTAATCCCTAATACCTAAACCCTAATTTCTAAACACTAATCCCTAATCCCTAATCCCTACACCCTAAACCCTACACCTTAAGCCCAAGGTCTAGGACTTCTAGGATAAAGCACCCTCTCTGGAGGTATAGGACGTAGGAGTCTCAGGCCGGGAATTTCAAGTCTAATTATCCCTATCAACCCCTATGCAGCAACTTAGGGTCCCTAAGTCCTAATCCCTGAATCCTAACCTTCAACCCATACCTGGACCCCAAAAGTATGTAAAATAATGGCCTTTATGGCTATTATTATGGGTTTAGGGCTATTATTTTACATACTTTTGGGGTTTAGGTAAATCCTAGATCCCTAAATCCGACATCCTTATAGAAATTCCAAGCCCCTAAACCCTACATCACATACATCGTTATATTACCCTAGACCTCCAGGATAATCAGCCCCGCACTCCGAAACACTAAGCCCGAAACTCCTAAATCCTGAGCCCTTAATCCGACTCCCTAAATCCCAAAACCCTAAATCCTAAACCCTAACTAAACCCTAATCCTACACCCTGAAACCCTAAATCCTAAATCCTACACCCTAAAAACAGGCAGTGTTAGTACCAAGACAGTGAAGCAGCACTCAAACCTAAACCCTACATCCCTAAATCCCTAAACCCTAAATCATAACCTTAAGCCCTAAACCCCAAACCCTACATCCTAAACCCTAAAACCCTAACCCCCCTCCGTTAAAGAAAAAAAAAAAGCACATAGTGTTCCAAAAAAAGTCGAGCAGCACTCAAGTGCTTCAGCCGCCCTCGCCTGGCCCTAGCCTTGCTCCATGGCTCGAGACGCGAGGCGATCATCGTGAAGTCTGGGACTTTGGGTTGAGGGGTTTAGGGATTAGGGATTAGGACTTAGGGTCTAGGGATTCGGGTTTAGGGATTCGGGTTTAGGGTCTAAGGTTTAGGGATTAGGGTTTAGGGCTTAAGGTTCTGATTTAGGATTTAGGGTTTAGAGTTCAGGGTTTAGGGTCGAGGATTTAGAGCTTACGGTTTATGGTTTAGGGTTTGGGGTTGGTTTAGGGGTTGCTTTGAAGGGGTTCTCGAGGTTCCATAAGGTTCAGGTTGCGGAGTTTCCTTTCAATACGGCTGGGCGGGTTGTAGGGGCTGCTTCCCTTTCGGGCTGTTTGAAGAGCCTCTTCTCTTGCCGATTAAATGCTTAGGCTTGGGGAACCCTAAACCCTAAACCCTATTTCTGTCTGGCTCGGGGCCGCGCTACAATTGCATCAATACAGGCTGGAGCTGTGGGTGGATGCTCTTGTCTTGGTTGGCCTTTAGAGACCCTTGAAAAATATTAGTATAGATGGGTCCCTATAAAACCAATAAGGGAAAACATTTAAGGAACCCAAAGGCCTACCCAGTTATGGTCTGAATGCATAGCGCGTGACGCCAAGTGCTGCACCACCACCACCCTAAACCCTCAACCCTAATTCCCCCACCAACCACCAATATCATCTGGAGGCTTACTTGAGGTACACTCTACCATGGACATACACAGAACCTGAGACCATTATGCGAGTAGCTATCCCCATAAAACCCTCTAGGCACCCATTTTCACCATTTGATTCTCCATTAACTATGGGTAACTATTCAGACGTCTGCATTAATCCGTCAGGCATGTGATATGAGGCTGCAGCGAAAACTCACCACTTGCTTCAGGAGCTATACTCTACTTGGAGGGTCACGAGGACTTAGTAAGTATAATAGGGTTTGGGGTCGGGGATACTGAGTGAGCATACTTGTGACCCTAGTAGCTGTATGACAAGCTCAGCAATCCGAAAGATAAGCCTACCGAGTAAGTCCCCCTGACCCTCCAAGTCTGTGCC